TGCATATATATATATATATATATATTATATATATATATATTTATATATTTTTTTTTTTTTTTTTATATTATAGGGAGGTACCACCTCTAGAACTGTTTTGGGGACCCTTCCTCCAGAGAAAAGAATAAACTTGCTTCTGGGAAAACTCAAGATTCTCCCTGAAGCTGTTTGAGAATTTTCTCCTACCACCCCCTAATTATGTATATATATTTTATTTAAAGACAAAATACATTGACAAAACATTCACAAAAATATGATGCAAAGTAAAACAACATAGGTAACTCAGAGCTACATCTCGAATACTTCGTCCAGCTCCCCTGCGGTGGGCCGCGTGCCCAGAATGCTGCAGGCATTTCCTCTCTGGATCGCAACACTGAGTCTCTGAAAGAGGAAGCTGGTCGCCCTGTGGTCCTTGGTTTCTATGATGAGCTTTTCACCCAGCTCTTTGAGGAACTTTAGAGCACACTTGCCCCATGCTCCAAGTTAAGAAAGCCTAGAGAACAAATGGATTTATCAGTTAAAAATAGGAGAGGAGAGTTATTAAATGGAGAGTTAGAGGTATTGGGAAGATGGAGGGAATATTTTGAGGAATTGTTAAATGTTGATGAAGATAGGGAAGCTGTGATTTCGTGTATAGGGCAAGGAGGAATAACATCTTGTAGGAGTGAGGAAGAGCCAGTTGTGAGTGTGGGGGAAGTTCGTGAGGCAGTAGGTAAAATGAAAGGGGGTAAGGCAGCCGAGATTGATGGGATAAAGATAGAAATGTTAAAAGCAGGTGGGGATATAGTTTTGGAGTGGTTGGTGCAATTATTTAATAAATGTATGGAAGAGGGTAAGGTACCTAGGGATTGGCAGAAAGCATGCATAGTTCCTTTGTATAAAGGCAAAGGGGATAAAAGAGAGTGCAAAAATTATAGGGGGATAAGTCTGCTGAGTATACCTGGTAAAGTGTATGGTAGAGTTATTATTGAAAGAATTAAGAGTAAGACGGAGAATAGGATAGCAGATGAACAAGGAGGCTTTAGGAACGGTAGGGGGTGTGTGGACCAGGTGTTTACAGTGAAACATATAAGTGAACAGTATTTAGATAAGGCTAAAGAGGTCTTTGTGGCATTTATGGATTTGGAAAAGGCGTATGACAGGGTGGATAGGGGGCCAATGTGGCAGATGTTGCAGGTGTATGGTGTAGGAGGTAGGTTACTGAAAGCAGTGAAGAGTTTTTTACGAGGATAGTGAGGCTCAAGTTAGAGTATGTAGGAAAGAGGGAAATTATTTCCCAGTAAAAGTGGGCCTTAGACAGGGATGTGTGATGTCACCGTGGTTGTTTAATATATTTATAGATGGGGTTGTAAGAGAAGTAAATGCGAGCGTCTTGGCAAGAGGCGTGGAGTTAAAAGATAAAGAATCACACATAAAGTGGGAGTTGTCACAGTTGCTCTTTGCTGATGACACTGTGCTCTTGGGAGATTCTGAAGAGAAGTTGCAGAGATTGGTGGATGAATTTGGTAGGGTGTGCAAAAGAAGAAAATTGAAAGTGAATACAGGAAAGAGTAAGGTTATGAGGATAACAAAAAGATTAGGTGATGAAAGATTGGATATCAGATTGGAGGGAGAGAGTATGGAGGAGGTGAATGTATTCAGATATTTGGGATGGACGTGTCAGCGGATGGGTCTATGAAAGATGAGGTGAATCATAGAACTGATGAGGGGAAAAGGGTGAGTGGTGCACTTAGGAGTCTGTGGAGACAAAAGAACTTTGTCCTTGGAGGCAAAGAGGGGAATGTATGAGAGTATAGTTTTACCAACGCTCTTATATGGGTGTGAAGCATGGGTGATGAATGTTGCAGCGAGGAGAAGGCTGGAGGCAGTGGTAGATGTCATGTCTGAGAGCAATGTGTGGTGTGAATATAATGCAGAGAATTCGTAGTTTGGAAGTTAGGAGGAGGTGCGGGATTACCAAAACTGTTGTCCAGAGGGCTGAGGAAGGTTGTTGAGGTGGTTCGGACATGTGGATAGAATGGAGCGAAACAGAATAACTTCAAGAGTGTATCAGTCTGTAGTGGAAGGAAGGCGGGGTAGGGGTCGGCCTAAGAAAGGTTGGAGGGAGGGGGTAAAGGAGTTTTGTGTGCGGGGGCTTGGACTTCCAGCAGGCATGCGTGAGCGTGTTTGACAGGAGTGAATGGAGACAATGGTTTTTAATACTTGACGTGCTGTTGGAGTGTGAGCAAAGTAACATTTATGAAGGGTTCAGGGGAAACCGGCAGGCCGGACTTGAGTTCTGGAGATGGGGAAATACAGTGCCTGCACTCTGAAGGAGGGGTGTTAATGTTGCAGTTTAAAAACTGTAGTGTAAAGCACTCTTCTGGCAAGACAGTGATGGAGTGAATGATGGTGAAAGTTTTTCTTTTTCGGGCCACCCTGCCTTGGTGGAATCGGCCAGTGTGTATAATAAAAAATAAATATATATATATATATATATATATATATATAATATATATATATATATATATATATATATATATATATATATATGTATATATATATATATATATATAATATATATATATATAATATATATATATATATATATATATATATACACACACACATACATAGACACTGTGTGTGTGTGCTCACCTATATGTGGTTGTAGGGGTCGATTCACAGCTCCTGGCCCTGCCTATTTGCTAGTCGCTACTAGGTCACTTTCCCTGCTCTAAGAGCCTTATCGTACCTCATCTTGCAACTATGTATGGATCCTGCCTCCACCGCTTCATTCTCCAGATTCCACTTCCTGACAACTCTAAGGCTAAAGAAATACGTCCTAATATCCCTATGACTCATCTGTGTTTTCAAGTTCCAGTTATGTCCCCTTGTTTCTGTGTCCCCTTGTTTCTGTGTCCCATCTCTGAAACATTCTGGCTACGTCCTCTTTGTTAATTCCTCTCAGTATTGTATACGTCATTATCATGCTCCTCCTATCCTACCTATCCTCTAGTGTCATCAGGTTGAGTTCCCTTAACCTCTCCTCATAAGACATACCCCTTAGCTCCGGAACTAGTCTTGTTGCAAACTTTTGGACATTATCTAAATTTTTGACGTGTTTGACCAGGTGTGAGTTCCACTTGGTGCTTCATACTCCAATATGGGCCTGACGTACACGATGCACAATGTCGTGAATGAATCCTTGCTTAGATGTCGAAATGCTGTTTTCAGGTTTGTCAGGCGCCCATATGATACAGTGCTTATTTGGTTGATGTGCGTCTCAGGAAACGTACTTGGTATAATGCTCACCCCAAGATCCTTTTCCCTAAGTGAGGTTCGCAACTTTTGATTCCCTATCCTGTACTCCGTCTGCTGTCTCCTTTGTCCTTCCCAAAGCTTCATGACTTTACACTTGCTGGGGTTAAAATCCAGGAGCTATTTGTCGGACCAGTCTTGAAGCCTGTCCAGATCCCCTTGTAATCTTACCTGATCCTTGTCCACTTGTATTCTCCTCATTAGTTCCACATAGTCAAACAACGAGGCCACCTCTGAATCTATTCCTTCCATCATATTATTCATATATATAAGAAACAGCACCGGACCTAGGACTGACTCTTATGGGACCCCACTCGACACATGCATCCACTCTGACACCTCATCATGTACCAACATTCGTTGTTTCTTTCCTGTCATGTATTCCCTGATCCATTGCAGTGTTTTCCCCTACTATTCCCGCCTGCTCCTCTAGTTTTTTGAACCAGTCTCTTGTATGGTACTGTGTCGAAAGCCTTCTTACAATCCAAAAAGCTGAAATCTTCCCATCCCTCTATCTCTCTCTCCTGTCTTACTTCTGTTACGTTGTCCTGGAACTCAAGTAGATTTGTGACATTGGATTTTCCATTCCCAAAGTCGTGCTGATTGTCATGTATGAGCCCAACCCTTTCTAGGTGCTTCACCACTCTTCTGATAATCTTCGCCATAACTTTACATAATATACATGTCAGTGAGACTGGTCTGTAGTTTAATGCTACGTGTCTGTCTCCTTTCTTAAAAATTGGGACTTCATTTGCCGTCTTCCACAACTCAGGCAGTTGTCCTGTTTCAATAGATTTACCTAAGATTGTTGCTAGCGGCACACACAGTTCCTCTGCTCCCTCTCTCAGGACCAATGGAGAGATGTTATCTGGGCCCACTGCCTTCGAGGTATGTACTTCACGAAGCAGTTTCCTTACCTCCTCCTTAGTAATGTGCAGTGAATCCAGTTCTTGCTGGTGCACCCTACTGCCTCTGTTTGCTGGAAGTATTTTTGTCTCCAGTGTGTGTGTGTGTGTGTGTGTGTGTGTGTGTGTGTGTGTGTGTGTGTGTGTGTGTGTGTGTGTGTGTGTGTGTGTGTGTATGTATGTATGTGCACGTGTGTGTGTGTGTGTGTGTATGTATGTGCACGTGTGTGTATGTTTGTGTGTATGTGTCCAAGAAATTAAAAACCAATATTAAATCATACAAATGATTTAAAACACGCGTTTTAAACAACACGCGCGGTAATGCTTTTACGATCTGGAAACAGCACCATAATCAAAATAATATAGAGAATAAACGTACATCTCAATTAGATTACCCGCGAAGCAAGGTGGGAGGAGCCCATCAGTGAGCTCCGCCCACTGGAAGGTTGGCCTCTACCTGACTCCGCCCCCTCCTCATATACTTGGCCCCGCCCACCTCAAGATAAATCTGTCTGAAGATTGTGTACAGACTTGTCCGTGGCTTGTTGAGGTTGTGGCTGTGTGCTGGTGCTAGCTGATGGCTGAAACCACACTAGTTTTGTTAGTTACAAGTGCTAAACAAATGTGCTAGTATGTGACTGTGTGTACCGGAAGTGCTATACAGTGAGAGATATCGTAATTTCTGTGCAAGTACAATAGAGACGTAGTGGTGGAATGACGTGATTTTTATGGTTTTACCCGGCGTAGGTCTGGTCAAGACCACTCAGACCGGCCAGGTACACATAGTCTTGAAGACCCCGCCCGTGGCAACACCAGGACTTCAATCTTATTAATCCCGCTACTTAGAACACTTAACCAGGAATTACTGAAGAGAGTAGATGAAGATCAGTGTAAGTCAGTAAAGAATTTTAAAGAGAAATATTATATAAATATTTATTAAACAAACTAAAAGTGGCGAGATGGTTTTACTTACTAGAAGACCTAAAACCTTATAAAACCAAACATTTACACACAAATAAAAGGTCTCATGTAAAACGGAATTAGATGACCTTAGAAGACTGAGTTGCTAGTTTTTTTTTTTTTTATTTTTGATACTTTTTATTTTTTTTTGAAAATGTCAGCGGAAGGACGCTCGACATTTACCGACGTATCGCACGAGTGTCCGCCTTCCCCACCGCCGCCCACTCAGGATAACAGAGAGAGCGTGGGCGTAAGTATGGGCGTGAGTGGTAGCAATAACTCAGGCAGTAGCAGCAGCAGTAGCAGTAGCAGCAGCCGCCCACACTTCTCAATTAGCTCTATCCTGGGGCTAGACACTAGCCAGAGACTACAAGAAAAACACAGTCCACCCCACACACACTATCCATCGCACCTAAACAACCCTTACTCTAAGAGGGGTTCCTCCACCCCAAACTACATTCCAAGTAGGCCTTCAACGCCCAATTATACCCAAGGTAGGCCCTCCTCCCCCACCTACACACATGGCAGGCCTACCACGCCCACTTATACTCATGGGAGACGTTCCTCACCCACCTATACACATGGTAGGCCAAGCACGCCTACGTACACACACGGCAGGCCTACTACGCCTACTTATACACAGAGTAGGTCAACCACGCCCACCTACACACACGGCAGGTCAGTCTCGCCTACGAACATACGTACCAGATCACCACAACCGCCGAGCACGCCCACGTACTCCATGTATATGGGTGATGGGAGCGACGATGCACCCACACACCCCTCCACTGGTCACCTCCAACACAACGATGCCTTCCACCCTACTGATGACGCCCTCATGGATGACGACGTGGACGAGGCGGGCTCAGGCGACGACGACAACGGCAGCGAACCCGACGGAGTCGTCGGGGAAGATGTCGGCGCCGATGAATCCCGCTCACTCGGGATAAACGTCCACCATCCGTCAGCATTCGTCCGCCCTACGCCGCTTCACCTCCGGCCAGATCCAGAGGGCGTAGAGGGCATGACCGGCCTAGGCGGGGCGGGCATGGGCGTGGGCGGTGGAGTGCTAGGTGGCCCCCTAGGGAACGCCATCAACCCTGCGGCACATCTGCCTCCCCTGTGGTATCCACCCTGGGTGGCAGCCTTCAAACCTATGTTTGGACTACAAGGTAAGGAGACCCACGGCCGCCATACTCTTGTTTACATGTAGGAAATGTTTCCCCCTCCCCCCCCCTTCCCTGTGTATTTCAACGTCTGAATAGTAAAGCAAATGTATTATTTAGCCCAGGAGGAAATATATTACAGCTGATAATATTCTTGTGGTATTCTTCAGCTAAAAACACCGTTCAGAGGTGTCGGAAGCAGTCTGGAGATGCCTCAAGGCGCTGGCATTTGGGAAAGCCAGGCATGCGAGTATTAAGACATTTACTGAGGATACGTTTCGCCCACCACATGCTTTTTTTCACACCTGTACAGAAGACTGAAGAAACTGGGCGAAACGTAACTTCAACAAATAGTAATAATGGTAGAATATCCGACAAAATGTAAGGTAAATGGACACAGTCAACTAATGTGACATTTTTATTGTGGCAACGTTTCATTCTCTTGTCGATGTTAATCATTGGTTTTGATGCGGCTTCTAGGCCTCACAAGGCCTAGTACTCATCCATAATCTATTGGACAGCCAGAAAATTCGTCCATCCACTTCCTACAAACTGTTTGTTAAATACAACACATCAAACGTTTTTTTTTTCTTTGAAACACGTGTTAAACACGTGTCAAACACCAGCATGAATTAAGGAGACAACACCCGCATGCGGCGATCACCGTGCTAAGACATCTGTACATCATCACACCTGTATGCCTATTCACTGGTAGATTAATGAAGAAAGTCACAACCCCGTGACTGCAACAATTCACTAAAAACGTCTTGACGACGTTTTGGTCGGCCCTGGACTTGACAGAGGTTCAGGTCGGACCGAAATGTAATCATAGGGTTTCTAATTGCCTTTTTTATGTGAAACATAGACTGACTGTTCCAAGTGGTGTTCTGCTGACAACAGTGAAGGCAAGACACAGCTGATAGAACAATCTGTCAGCGAGACAACGTTTCGCTCAGTGTAGAGCTTCATCCAGTGGTGACTTGATCAAGAAGAACGTTGTTACTGTCTGTGGTGTGTGTAGGTGCCATTTTGTCAATTTTAATTTCAAAACGGTAGCCATTTTGTTAATTTTAATTTCAAAACGGTAGCCATTTTGTCAATTTTAATTTCAAAACGGTAGCCATTTTGTCAATTTTAATTTCAAAACGGTAGCTATTTTGTCAATTTTAATTTCAAAACGGTAGCCATTTTGTCAATTTTAATTTCAAAACGGTAGCCATTTTGTCAATTTTAATTTCAAAACGGTAGCCATTTTGTCAATTTTAATTTCAAAACGGTAGCCATTTTACCAATTTTAATTTCAAAACGGTAGCCATTTTGTCAATTTTAATTTCAAAACGGTAGCCATTTTGTTAATTTTAATTTCAAAACGGTACAAAGTATGTTCCATTAAACATTCTTCATTTTTTAACCTTTAATGGCCGACTTATATTATTAAATGGACGAAGCCTTTTTTGGGTTTAAACTTTGTAGCTGCAAATTTCCCAGTTTTAAACACTGGTTTATTAACTTGAAATTATTGGTTTCTGTGGAATAGCTGAGGACAAAACTTCGGGTCAGCTTGAAGCTTCAGATTTGGTGTGGCTTCTCAAAGAAATTTTTGTCTTAATTTGATTAAATTGCGAACAATGAAATACCTGGAGGATGTTTCTGGTGACCAGAAGTCAGTGTTTGACTCTACTGGGTCATCCTAGCATAATTATTATTATTATTATTATTATTATTATTATTATTATTATTATTATTATTATTATTATTATTATTATTATTATTATTATTGATATTATTATTATGATTATGATGATGATGTTGATTATTATTATTATTATTATTATTATTATTATTATCAAAACTAAGCGCTAAACCCATAAGGATCACACAGCGCTGTAATCCTAGCCTCGATACAGGGTGTGTCAAAAGAGATGGGACCCGATTTCAACGATAGTTGAATTTCAGATAGTGTCCATCATTTTGAAACACATTGTATACGTACTATAATTGTTTTGTAACCGTGACCTCTGCGTGATCACGAGGATATTGTAACAAAATTTGTAGGTTATGTATCCAAAGTTTAACTGAAAGTTAGTGTAACTTAGACGCTGGTTAGGTTTAGTTAGAGGAAAAGTTTGGATTCATTTTGCCCTGTTATAGTCCCAGATTTAATTTTTTTTTTTTTACTGGAGAAATTGTGACATTTGAAATGCTGGTTTTCATAATCTAGTTCCTGAGTTCGTCATCCGATTGGATTCAAACTATCAACCCCGATAACCTGATAATGTAATTTGTGAGTGGCCTTAAAGTTAGTGGTAATGTATTATGGGGTATTGATCCATGTGAGATACCTAGAGAATGCCTCTTCAGCTTGGCTTTAAACTTCTTAAGCAGGTCGTTCTTGAAGGAAAGTTTGAATTTGTGTTGAGCTGTGAATGTCCTAATTTGTCAGTTTTCATTAAAGAAATTAGTATATTACTTTCCATGTGACAGCTTGTGCATGCCTCTCTCCTTTCACTTAAAATCTTAAACATTAATGTATAACTGCATTACAATCTTATGCCGCACCCTGCACTATTCCTTTCACATGCAATGAGGTGCATGGGAATGGGATTATACAATACAGGGATAAGTTTCTTGGACCGTTGAGAGACTGAAATACATCTAGGTGTATTTGTGGAGTCTGAACTTAATTTCAGGAATGGTCTATGTGGAGAGACATTGTACGGCGCTGATCATCATCGTATTCTTCCCTCTAGTTTATATAAAAATGAGCAGAGAGCACTTACACATGTCAATTGTTCTACAAACCTTTATCTAGTAATACCTGACCAGGGACTGAAATTTGAAGGCGATTAGAAAAGGCGTTCTGAAATTATAAGTGGAAAACTTAGATGGAATGAGAAAACTGTTGCTAACACATGGACGACTCTGGCATCGTGTAGTATTTAAGGGTTTACTCAACTCACGAAATTTTAAAATGCTACAAAAAAAAAAAAACGAGCTGTTAATATTTTTTCCTTTTATTTTCTGTATTGTATCAAGTTTAAAAGTATATACATTCCTGAAAGGAAAAAAATGATTTTTATGTTGTCTAGGAGAGTCCATTTTGATAAAAACTCTAGAAATGTCAGGTTCTAATTTTTTTTTTTTTGCATTAGCAAATTTCGATGCGTAAATCATAAAATCAAAATATATGCAACTGCCTCAGAAGAGGTAAATGTATATATTTTAATTCTGATAAAACGTGGATCAAAACTTCACACAATTAGAATATATAGCGAGGCCTGGTCACAGACCGGGCCGTGGGGGGAGGGGCGTTGACCCCCGGAACTCTCTTCAGGTATCTTTTTGGAAAGTTTGAAGCTCCGCCATCGAGAGTTTTGGAAATTATCCGATCCGTTCCAGGATGCTGGGAATTGGTTCAGTAACTCTGGGTTTAGGTCACCTGTACCTGCCAGTTGCTCCTAGAACCTACACAAATAACCCGCACAAAGAGAGAAGCTATGACAACGTTTCGTTCCGACATGGACCATTTACAAAGTTACACTGTGACTCTGTAAATGGTCCAAGTCGGACCGAAAGGTCGTCGCACCTTTTGTCTGTGTGTGAGTTATATGTGTATTGTTAAATTAGACACATGTGCAACTCTTGGGTATCTTTATTGAGGAAACGTTTCGCCACACAGTGGCTTCATCAGTCCATACAAAGGATAAACTTGAAGAAACAGGAGGAGAATGAGGTAATCAATCCCTCAGCCTTGAGTCGATGTGGTCAGTCCATCAATCTTGAATAGAATACGGCATAGGAGCAGAGAAGCAGCTTATAAACCGTATGGCAGGAGAGGTGCAGCAGTGGTAGGTGGTGTCACATTTGTTCAATGTGGAAGTAGGTCGTGCCCAAGGATTAGGCAAGCGAAGAATTCCCAAATATTAAGATCCCAAGAAGTTGCAGTGTCTGACAGGATTGTAGATGAATGGTTCAAAGAACCGACATGTTGTTAAATTAGACACATGTGCAACTCATGTCGGTTCTTTGAACCATTTATCTACTTAGTAGATGAATGGTGTTTTCAGATGTCTAGAACATCAGTGGGATGGATGGAGTTGCATACTTGAAGCTAGTTTAGGAATTCTTGGCTTCATACCAGCTTATGTCTACCTCGGCTGATGCTCACAGATAAACTGACAGTGTGAAATAGAGGCAGCCTCAGGAAGTGAGTGACGCGTACTGGACAGGTCGATCTGGGCTACTAAGTGACTTTTGTCCTGAAGCATACTTGTCAAAATACTTTTGGGTTTCCACACACTTAGCTATATATTTCTTCTTTTCTAATACTGTATATTAGTTTTTGATGTTTATTGTTATTTGGTTTAACTTTATTACTTACTTATAATAGGGTTACTTTACAACTTTATATACTAAGACAAAGTTAACAATAATCCTCATACCGGGTACCGCATTGTTTTCTTGATTTTCAGAATTCATAACTTTTTTTCTGTCACCCCTCCATTAACCCCCAAAAATGGTTAAATTACCCCTAGGGGGTAATTTACCCCCAGTTTGGCAACCATTCATCTACTATATGAGTATTGTTCCAGTCACGGTATTGTGCCTTTTTATTCTTTAAGGTGACACGTGATCGATTTTTTTTATTTCGTACAAAATATTAAAATTGCATTGATTTCCCTTTCGATTAATGTAATGTTAACGAAGACGTGATAAATACAAGTCTTAGGGAGGTGTTGGAATAGGCGTGATCTGAGGCGTGATTGAAGCGTGATTAAAACGTAACTGAGGCGTGCTTGAAGTGTGACTGAAGCGTGATTGAGGCGTGATCTGAGGTGTGATTGAAGCGTGACTGAAGAGTAATTGAGGCGTGATCTGAGGTGTGATTGAAGCGTGACTGAAGAGTAATTGAGGCGTGATTGAAATTGTCAGAAAATGCTAGAAACCGAATCGTCGACATATGCAATAAAATAACATTTTAGCACATTTTACTATATTTTTAAATA